ATTAATGATGAAAATATTTTAATAGCACATTATTATAAAATAATTTCAATATTAAATTATTCCAATAATAATGACAGTGGCGAAAATGTGTATTGAGAAACTTTAATTAGAGTTTTATGATTACTATATATAATAGAGTGATCATGTTAAATGATGATGTTTGAACTATTTTGAGAGAACAATATGGTCATAGATCTTATGACTAGTCAACAGTCTGTGTAGATATGATATTTTATCACTAAGATATTGCATTAAGGCCCCCCCCCTTCAGAAATAGTGATTTTCGGTCAAAAAATCGGTTTTGAGATGCGCACATGGAGAGAGAGCCTGAAGTGTCTACTTTCAGAATCTGTATCGGTTTTGGTTACAAAAGTGGGTTTTCGCGGATATTGAGCAAGTTTTCCATTAGCCTCGAAAAACCGGGTCTTCAAATAATAGCTTTTTCCTGGATACTTATGCAATTAAAATTTTTCTGAACACATAGATTTGTAGAGAAAACTTTTGTGCTCAAAATAAGACAACCCTGTATAACCTTGCATCAAAAAGCTACAGGCATTTTCCTACAAGTCCTAAAATTGAGTATTTTATACACCGTTTTCTCTATATAAGAGTTACACTTGAAGTATTTTCCAAGAGTTTTAATAGCGGTTCGTCGTAGAGAGTTTATTCTTCTTTTTTTTTAAAGAGCAAAAGAAACTACCTGGACTGACCGGCGCTGATTTTTGAATTAGATCTTAGGTTTTTGTCAAACTGAGACTTTTTAGAAAACTCCAAAGGATTTTTCGGGTTTTGGAGGTTGTTGATTGCCTGGAAAACTAACAAAGACTTAATTGAAAAATCAGCGCCGATCAGTCCATGTAGTTAGGTGTCTAGTTTAAAATAAAGCAAATCCGGACTCTCCAGTTTGAAGTATAGTAAAAAATCTTGCGAAAAACTTTAGAGTCCTTTTTAGACCTTGATCTCAGGAAACCCCCTAAACCGTAAGACTTGGAGACAAAAAAATGTTTTCATTTCCCGTAACTCATTAAACCTAACATTTATAGAAAGTTTTATCAAGAACGGATGTACGGTGTCCGAGATAATTTCTGAGGAGGGGCCCTTAATTGCACTATATATTGTCTTTGTTCATTAAGTGCCATACCTGACAATGTGTTTGTCAAAACAATACATGTTAAGAAATTACATCAAGCACAAACAACAGTTTATTCAAATATAAGTTACTAAGTGGTTCTCATAAAAGGCATCACCCGTTGAGAGAAGACTAAAAACTGGCACACATTATATTATGATTGGTTTTTCTTAAAAATTGGTTCACTTATTCAAAAGCTCCAGTTTTACTTCATCTGTCACATTTCAATACATACCTAGTAAAGCCTTGTCAGACAAAAACGGTGACAAAGTTAAAGCGAAACTTTCATTTCGTTTTGTAGACTTCAAAACCCTGTCTTGTAGACTATTCAAAAGTTCCGCATACTTTTGGCAACTTTTTTTGACTGTAAGTACAGTAGATATTTCAAAAAACAGAGTGTTAATAATATAAAATTTTTTTTTCTATTAATCTCTGTCAACATCAAATATGAGAAATTAAATCGAATAATTACACGGAATTGTACGTAGCTGTCTATAAAATTTGATGTCATTTATAATAATTATTTCGAAGGTTCAACCCGTTTAAAAAAACCTGACTAAGCATTTGACTTCAAAAAATGTATAAAATAAGAGAGAGAATTCTTTCCTTCTGACACTTATTTTAGAATTACATAGGTGCACCTATATAATTTAAAAAATGTTCGCTTTCAAATGCTAGAGTTCGTTTTTAACGCAAATAACATAGTTCCCATGTTGTACGAAACTATAAGAACTAAAAGAAAATCGTCTATGATTCTCTAACCGTATAGTTAAGGAAGTCATGACTTTTGGATAATGATAAAAAATGCACAGTAATTACTACAATTAATGTTAAATATAGAGCGATCTAATACGTGCATAAAAATTCTGAAAAAATACTGAAAAGGTTCCGGAAATTGTATGTTAAAAGATGTACTCTAGTAAAACACATAGTTATCTTTTCGAGCATTCTCCAGTATTGTAAGAGCCTGGTTGAGACGAATTAACAGAAAGAGTACCATGTCTGTCACTCAGGCTAAAACATATCCATAATGGAGAGAATATCTAGTCAGACTTTTTCAATGGATTGAGTAGCTAATGTACACAATATTACTACAACTGTCTTCAGTCTATTTTCTACAACTATTCATCAGTTTTACATCGTTTTTGGATCAAAAGGTACAGAGATATCGATAAAAATTCTTTATTCGCTGTGATGCTAATACTCCGCGCTTACCAATGAACGATCGCCAGTTTACGTGATGGGACTTTGACACTTTGAGAGTGTATTTGTTTTTAAAAGAACATGTGAGAATAGATGTGCTGTGTGTATACGAACAGAAACGACCAGGCTTTTAGAAATCTTTCAACAATTTCCCAATATGGAGAAAATCAGTATGGATTTTGATAGTAAACCATGCGCTTGTTTGAATATCGACCTTTTTCTTTTTTCACTTCTTTTCCCAGCCACCGTTTGCCAATCATATATCGACAAAATCGATGAATGGTGCCGATTGAATCAAATATCCCTGAACTCTTCTAAGTGCTCTTAGATATTTTTTTCAAATCGAGCACAATCAGCCGCTAATTACCTTTCTTTCACCATTAACAACCAAATCGTAGCTCGAGTGACTTCGATTATTCTACTTGGGGTGCATTTAGTCCCCAAGGTGCACCCACGACATGGGGTAAACACGTTCCCGACCTTACTCTTGCATGTCGTCGTTGCCTAGGAGCGATGTTTAATTTATTTAAGCAGGCGACTTTTCCAGTTGGATTATCAGTATATAAATCAGGCATCCTCCCTAAGTTGGATTATGGTTGTGTTGTTTACGACAGTGTTTACTATATTTCAATTTTCAATTTCATTTTATTTAGCTTAAGTCAAAACAGGGAAACAGAAAGTAAAGTTAGAAGAACCGTCTAGAACATCCAACAGAACAATAAACATTTACACTTGGTAACAGAGATGCGCGCATATGCGAGCTTTAAAGACTGATAAAGAAACAACAATAGCACTGGAAGTGTTAGCAGGATCAGGATTGCTAATAACATGTGGCGGACGTTTGTTCCACTCATCCGCTGTTAGATAGAAGAATGATCCCTGTACACTTTTCTTTGATGTGAAAGGAACAAGCACCACGAAAGGATTTGGGTTTAGAGGAAGACTGACTCTTGTGTAACACATGGAAATGATACAAAATTTAGATGGAGGAGAGATGTCGAATAACACTTTATAAAAGTGTAGAAGGCGAAAGTAGCGTCTACGGGAAACAAGGTCAGGCAACTTTAGTTTACGGAGAAGGTCATCACCGTTAGAATAAAAATCATACAAAATCATACGTGCTGCTAGCCTGTGCATAGAAGCTAGCCTAAATACAGACTCTCTACACTCTGAATGGAAACACCTGCAAGATCGAACTGAAGAATCCCCACGTTAAGGGGAATTTGAAACAAAAATTCATTCACACTTAGAAGTATTGATAGACATAAGATGTGAAGTACACCATTCCTTGATAGAATTTATGTATGATTGACAATTAGGTAGAGGTGTAAGAAAGAAAGCCTCGACAAAATTACTAAATCAGCAGCTCGCCTAATCTGCAAAAAATTCGATGGCTCTGTCAGTGAATTTGTGCAAAAATTAACATTACCTGACTAAGCGTAGAAAATTTTTCTGCCTTCCTCATTTCTACAAAATGGTTACAAACAGGTCCCTTCTAGCAAATTTCAGTTTTATTCAACCTTTGTTGCTACTTCACTCGAAGCGATTGAATCATTCTAGAGCCACTCTCTGTAAGGCCTCTGCTAAGGCTGATGTCACCTCCTCTTTCTTCTTTCGGACGGCAGTTGAGTGGAACGATCTACCTAAAGAGATGGTCCTTGCCAGTAGTCTTGGACAATTTAAACAAAAGCTTTAAGAATGGCTGGCTAGAGATAGAGGTTTTGTTCTGTTTCTGTCAAAATAAACGTCAGATCAAATCGATATAAAAAGTGCGTGTTTCTGACAGAAGGGGTGAGTATAAGGGGCCTTCAAGAACTACCAGTGACCTCTTAAAATGTCTGATTTGTAAAATAAGATGTACAAGACTCTCGGTATATCGACTAATAATAGCTCACTTAGCAACTCAATATAATTTCAAATTCAGCTCAATAAAACGCAGATAACTCAACAGCGTTATTATTTTAGTAGAAATTCTTAAAGAGGAAAATGACGATGATTACTAAAAACATCAAACGATTTTTTTAAAAGTTAATTAGTGACTCTTCTAAAATATTGATGACATCAGCAAGATCGTAGAATGTAGTTTAACCTGTTAAAAGACAAGATAATTCTGGTTGCTTATTCTCAAAATCGTGTTAAAACTACTCATTTCCTAAATCTATAGTTATGGCTACACTATCATCGTGTTTTAGCTGATAATGGAATTGATCACACACATTTTACCTAGCAGCAAACAAAATAGAATCTATCGTCTAAGCACGTTTTTCTATCTTTTATTTCTCCATGGATACGTTTATTTTATTTCTCTCATCTAAACGAAAATCCCATCTAATTTCATTTTTTGTCTTAAAATGTCTTTGTTCACCATAAGCGCCGATTCAGACTGAGCCCGCTCAACTTTTACTCTTTCAGAACCAGTTTTTTTATAAATAGAAAATACGCCTTAATTGGTTCAGTTTTAATTTTGCGAGATTCGAATCTTATCCATTTCTTTTTTTTCTTCTGTTTTAATTTTTCTTTTCGGTTTGTTGTTAAAACAACATAATCTGTATTCAAATTGTAAATATCATGATGGTGATGACAAACGAACGATCAAGACGAAATAAGAGTTTATCATTATGATATTGACTAATCCAATGATAATTCTTCGATGGTAAACAAATCTGAAATGAGTTTTGATTTACCGGCAACATTATCAACGAAAAATAATACAAAAAAATGTAGTTTTACCGATGAAGCTTGTCAAGTATTAAATGAATTAAGAACAAATAGTCTGTTGTGTGATGGTAATGTTCTTACCAAAGACAACAATGAATATGCTGTACATCGATTCATTCTGGCTGGTAAGAATTCAGTATAATAGTATAATAAAAATGTTAATGAATATTTGTTATTCACCGGCCAAAATATTAATATAAAGTTTCGTCACTTTAGTGCTCTTCTAACACGAAAAACTCGTCAAGTAATTCATCGCTTTTTTTTCTCGGAATATACTTTATTACTGGTATTTTAGCTTCAGAAGCTTTCAAGTTACAAGTCTAGTCACTAAAACAATTTTCAAGTCAAGTCATCCCTCGAAATTTTTTTCCTCAAGCCAAGTCAGGTCTGGTTAAAAAATAGGTAGAATATTAAATTTACTAGCGACTTTTGGGTGAGAGATAGTTTTTACAGTTTCAGAAACTCTATTTTATGGTAAAAAGTGGCTAATTTAAACGAAAATCTCTTACTAGAAATGACCTGACTGGAAATTTTCAAGTCGAGTCACGGTCATGATAAAAATCTCTCAAGTCAGGTCACATCTAAAGCATTTTTCGGCCAAGTCAAGTCTGATTTGACTTGGACTTGAGGCATTTTTGACTTGACCTGCCCAGCTCTGTCCATCCCGCAGTCGATAAATAGTAGAGAACTAGTTTCTGTACACTCATTCAAGAACGATCTATAGATACAAACGAATATCCAATTCGTGATCAGCATCAAAAATTACCTGTAATAAAATGCAAAAAACAAGTGATGAATCACACGAGGTTCCTTCGTAAGATTAAACTCGAAAAGGCATGGAAAAACATATTTCAGGCTAAAATCAAGTTCAAAATTATCACATCATCATATATCCGGTTTCCTATTGGATTTAGTTTCGAAATAAATTTTCGATAAATAAAAATATAAAAGATAAAGATAACGATGTGACTAGTTTCCAAGATACTGTACCAGACAATTTGATATAATAACGCGTTGTTTAGTTAAAAAATCTCACTATTAATTGAGTAAACGTACTTGTGATCACCAAAAAAGATACCTTTGATCACCAAACAGCTTTAGATACAGATGATCGCCAAAAACAAGTCAACAGGATTGTTGCCACACCAGAAAACCATTTAATATAACCCACCGACGAGAACGCTAAATACCTAGCCAATGATACATTCAATGATTTTCTGGTATGGCAAGAATCGTGTTGGCTTGTTGTACTATTATTAGTATATTCGTGCAAACATTCTGTTGGATTAGCAATTTTTTAATCAATTTCAATCAAATTTATAAGCGATAAAACACGTATTCAACCATTAGGCAAATGAAAAGCAAAAAGGGTGTCGCAAGAAAATTAGCACAGCTTTAAATTTTTTTTTAATGAACATAAATAAAACTGTAAAAATATTGTGTGTTTGGTTAAAATCTCAATGAATATGTTTGTGTTGTATATTGTACTTTGTTGAGAAATAAAAATGTGAGATGTATCCTGGAAAACTTAGTGATTAAAAGTATCCTTTTTTGGTGATCATTTGTATCTAAAGAATTTGGTGATTAAAACAATTGATACCCCTATTAATTGATAAGTTCCATTCAATTTCATTCAATTTCCATTCTATTGATTGATAAATTCCATCAACGTTTTTTTATTTAGCATGTAGTCCATACTTTCGATCGATATTTACAAGTCTCAAACATGTGGAATATCCATCTGTAAAACTGGAAGTGGAAGATGAAGTAGTTCAAGCTATACTAGGTAATAATCCAAATTTAATATTTCATGTTTATTTTTTTTCCAATATTGATATTTATTTAGATTATGCTTATATGCGTGAATGTTTTTTAACACCATCGAATGTTGATAAAATAATACAAGCTGCTGATAAATGGCAAATGAATGGACTAGTTCATTATTGTTGCGAATATTTATCACAAAATTTATCACCCGATAATGTTTTTAATGTTTATAAGTTTACCATCATTTATCCCAATGAGAGATTACAACAGGTGACCTACGACTATTTGATGTAAGTTGAATATGAACTTAAACTCTTTTTCGATCTCGTTTTTCTATAATCTAAATAGGTATAATTTTATTGATATAACAGATATAAATAAACAATTTATTAATCTTGATGTGAATGAATTAATTAAATTTATATCAACAGATGATTTAAATGCGAGAAATGAAGAAAATGTATTTAATGTTGTCATCAAATGGATTGATCATGATGTTGAACAAAGGAAACAGGTAGTTTTATTTTCCAATCATCTTGGATATTATGCTAAATTTGACTATTACTATAGAAGATATGGATTATCAGTATCTATCTTGCTAATATCATCAGTAATATATTTGATATTTAGTATATTAGTCAATTAATTTGTCAACTTCGACTTGGTCTAATTCCATTACAAGTATTTATTAATAAAGTTAAATCTCATCCGTACATTAAAGATAATGATGAATGTCGATCTATGATTGGTGAAACATTAAAACTACTTTATAAATTAGATAATGAAGGTCTAATAGTATGTTTAACTATTTTTGTTAGATTGTCTTACTATTAGTAACAATATTATTAAAATTTAGGAAACAGATCTTAAATGTCCGTTTATTCGTCCACGCTATCCACATGAAATTATTTTTGCATTTGGTGGTTGGTCTGGTGGTAGTGCGACAAACATGTTAGAAGCTTATGATGTTCGAGCTGACAAATGGACTATTATTCATTGTACCGATAGAGGTAATTGAAATCTTTTTCCGATCAAGTACAATCATTTTTCCACATAGTCTGTTTATTTTTTAGCGGCACCACGAGCATATCATGGTTGTATAACATTAGATAATCTCATGTATGTAATAGGTGGTTTCGATGGTATAGAATATTTTAGTTCATGTCGTACATTTCATCTGATTAAAAAAGAGTGGCGAGAAATAGCACCGATGAATGAAAGACGGTATAATAGAAATATTATTGAGTTGTAAAATCATCTCTAACGATATCTTCGTTCTCTAGATGTTATGTTAGTGTAGCATATTTACCTCCTTATTTATATACAATGGGAGGTAATGATCAGTTTGACATTCAAAATAGTTACATAAGATTTTTTATTTCTCATTATTTAGGATTCAATGGACATGTGCGACAAAATACAGCTGAAAAATATGATCGAGAAACAAATCAATGGAGTTCAATTTGTCCCATGAATTTACAACGATCCGATGCATCAGCAACAACATTGAACGGTAAGTAAAACAATAATTATAAAATTTATATAAGAACAATATTATACTATGTTTTTTATTGTATTAGATAGAATTTTTATATGCGGAGGTATGTTTGATACATGTTGAAGACGTATTATTTGATAAAAACTGAATATTTTATCATTTTTCAGGTTTTGATGGTCAAGAGTGTCTACAAACAGCTGAATTTTTTGATCCAAAAACAAATCAATGGACACTAATATCTCCGATGAGATCAAAAAGGAGTGGAGTTGGTAAAACACAATAATAATGAATTAATGAAAGTTAATCAAGCATTATTTTCTTCTTGTCAGGCGTTATTGCATATCGAGGATCGGTCTACGCTATTGGTGGATTTAATGGACAAGCAAGATTAAATACGGGAGAAAGATACAATCCAATAATGAATACTTGGAGACCAATAACGGCTATGCTTCATCCAAGGAGTAATTTTGCTATTGAGGTAAACTATTTTTATTAATAGCTAGAAAAAAAGAGATAAAGAGTGATGATGACATTCTTTTAATAATGTCTAGATTTTCTAGATTCTGGACGATCTCATGTTCACCATCGGGTAAGTTATTTAGATCTTTTTTTCAATGATAATGGTAAGAACATAAATTCGATTAATTTTCCGTACTAATCTGTATTAATTCATCAAAGTAAATTAATCTGTACTAATTCTCAGTATATTTAAATATTTTAGCGGGTTCAATGGAGTAACAACTATTTCAAATGTAGAATGTTATGACGATCAGAAAGATGAATGGTGCTTACTTATATACACTCTCTCACATACTTCATATTTGTAATTCTATTTTAGGTATGATATTGCTGATATGAATTTATATCGCAGTGCTTTGAGTGCATGTGTTATAAATGGTCTAACATTAGTGAAAAATTTTCTTTTTTATAATGATATAAATACAACAATAACAACGACGACGACAAATAGCAGCACTATTGCAAATATAACAAATAATCTTGAAATAAATCGCTTACCATTATCCGTTGCACTTTCGCATGGTAGTGCACGTCAGATACACGGACGCATACAATAAATACTTTTTATGCATGATAAAACAAAACAATTCCAACTTAGAACTCAGTTTTTCTATATAAAGTCTCTTCATTTTCTTTGTACTATTCTTATAAGTATGTTCTTCCATCTCCTTATTCAACATAACATCTGTACAACATGATATTCAGATAAGCACTTTATTTCAGTCAACACGTCGCATGACAGACATACTTTTTTGCCCATTACTCTCTTACTTGATATTGAAGAACTGAGCATCTCATTGTTTTTCTATCTCTGTTTTTTTGAAATAAATGAACGCAAGTTGAAAGAATTATTTTGTCAAACTCAAATTAATTATTTTTTTAAAGGATAAAGAGATTGATGTGAAAATAAATAAAATAAAAATAAGCCTTTTTTTTCTTCCAACTAATACAAAGTACATACTGTTAGAAGAAACTAAAGGAAAAAAAGAGATTATAAACTTCTCCTCAGAATAGATGACCACCATGATGTGCTATTTTGGTAACCAAGTCAAGCCGATTTTGGACTAAAATTCCTGAACAGAATCTCAGGAAAAATCTTCAAAAGTGATCGTCTATTCTGGAAGGAGATTTATTGAACATACAAAATAAAAAAGATCAAAACAAAAGAAAATATATTCAACGAAGGCGTCTACTTAGATACACTCTCTCACGTTGAAATTAACGGTGCTGCAAGGTTTAAATCTGATTTTTGGTTTTCTCCATCTTTCCCAAGCAAAAATTACCCAGCGGAAAAATCTAGATGTTCTTGCTGGAGCATTGGGCTATGCGCCAGCAAGAACATCTAGGTAAAAGAGTAAAAAATATTGACTTATCTAGGTGTATCTGGTTGAATCCAATGCCACACAATGCAAATCTCAATGCCTTGAGAGGCCAGAAAATAGACAAGTAAAGCAGTGCTTGCTTACAGTAGTCTGGTGTGTGAACGGAGACAAAAAAATATGCTTATTTCGTGCACTTTTTGTTTTGGACCTACCCAACTTCATTGGATGAAAGTTCTGAGTTTAAACCAAAATCAAATAAGATTTCATCTCCGAATATCTCCGTACATGCGGTAGAGCCGAAAAAACTAAAAATCAAAGATGAAATCTCATTTGATTTTGGATTAGTTTTTGGTTGTAAACTCTTCCTTTTAAATTTTATTAACAGGAGTTCTATATGTCATTCATTATTTTTTGCAAACTGAAGAAGGAAGAAGATTCTTCCGAAACGTTTTTGAAATAATTTCTGTTAATAAAATTTAAAAGGAAGAGTTTACAACCAAAAACTAATTCAATGTCCTTCCAAACTATCACACAATTCATTTGATTTTGGTTTAAACTCAGAACTTTCATCCAATAAAGTTGGGTAGGTCAAAAACGAAAAGTGCACGAAATAAGCATATTTTTTTATCTCCATCCACGTACCAGAACACTGTATTGGAATAAATGTATTTATTGAAACACTGACATATCCGTGCATTGACAATGATGTCTAGATGTATTGTCTGAATCACTGAGTCAGCCAGATGCATGAACCACTTAATGGACGCTAAATGCATTGTTCACAGCATTGCTCATGTAGATGCATGGGCAATGTTATGTCGTTACATCGAGAAAAACATTTATCTGTATTTAGATGCATCTAGATATCTCCATATTTATCTAGATACAACGTGCGATGTCTCGATGGCTTTCTTTTTACGCATTTAGATGCATCGACCAGTGAATTGACGAATCTAGATACATTGGCCGATACTCCGTGCTTTTTGTGTGCTTGGGTTCATCGATACAATCGAATAACAAGCAAATACGTTGAAAGTCGGTTTGAAAATGAAATACGGATCAACATGCACTAATAACACTCAGATAAAATGGTTATATCTTGTATATAACTATTGTTTCTCATATAATCTTCAAATTTTTGCTACAGTTTTCATTAAACTTACAAGTTTTCACTTCCTAGTACATGCTACAATATGTTTGAGAAACTCTTTTTTGTTTGTCTGTGTTTTCAAGTTTATAGTAGTAAGTAAAAACGCCGAAATCAATTAAATTTCATTATAATTCTCCTTGATTCGCTGCATGAATTGAATTCAATCAAAAGAATATTATGTAAAAAAGCTTAGTTATTTTTAATATCTGACAAAAAATACAATAAATCAACGAAAGAAAATGTATTGCCACAAAAATAAAAACAATAGTTTCAGCCTTACAAAAAAATAACACCGCCGCTATACAAAATTATATAAGAAATAAAAAATAGAAGAAAAAAATCCATAAACCTCTCTTAATCGAAAACAGTATTCTAATCTCTGATATGACTCGACGTTTTACTATCCAAAATAAAAATCTGTTTTATTTCTCCTTCTAAAGAATGTTTTCTAGGTGCTAAATAATATTCAACAACGCGCACTAACTTATCAGCAATAAGACTGTCATAGATATTTGATGCTAATTTTTTATTTTGATGTAATTTCCAATGAGTAAACAATGATGTATCATTCGAATTGAGAATAGTTTTTGTATTACAAATGAAACATTTTAAATATATAACTAGATCGTCTTCAATACAATTAACATTCATTGACTGGAACATTGTTTGACGTCTTTTGTTCTGTTTAACGTCAATACTATCATATTGTTTCCTTTTCGATTGTTGTTTATATTCTTGTAATTCTTTACATGCGCTCGATACGAAAGTTTTTTCATCGCGTTTCTTTTTACTTCTCTTTTGTGATGATGATTTCTAAATGAAGAGAAGTGATATAAATTGTTTAATTAAAAAAACAATTCAGAAAATAAAAACTCAAAACTTTCAATACTTTCTCTTCTTGAATAGAAAAAGGTACTGGTATATTTGCTGTTGTGATATTCTCAATGTCATTCGATTGCAAACGAGTGAGAAGAACTTTACATTCTCGAACAATCTGACGATTTCTCAACGTAACAAGTTGATTTGCATCTAAACAAACAACAAAAACATAATATTAAATAACAAGATTAATTAATGCGAAAGAGACTCATACCAGAATTTCTAATCATTCCTCTACAACGTGAAATTCGAATGCTGGATATTTCAGTGGGTGATGTAATTTTCATTGATCTTAATTGTTTCATATTTGTTGAACAATATCGTTCAATATTTTCACAAACTGGCATGCGATGTAAATTTGGTATTACATTATAAAGTGCTTGTTTGACAATAATTTCATTTGTTTTTATATCTAATAAATAGCATAGTGGAATAGCTAATTGTGAATGTCTGAATGATGTTTGATTTCTTAATATTGTTGTTGAAGTTTGTTTGCTCTTTGCATTTGGCTTTAATTTGAGATAAAGGGATGACATAAGCAACGAAAGATTCTCACAATCAACATCGTTCTCTGAACGCGAATAATCATTATTGTTTACATCTTTGTTGGAACAATTTTTTTCTAATAATTCACTCATTGATCGATCCTTACAAAACTAGTATTGATCTAAAATCAGATACAAATGCCTACCTCCATTTATTGATGATGAGTTCTATCTCTTAAACGTAGTTAACCACATCAAGTGTACATATGTGCGTGTGTGTGTACTCTTGAAGAAAAGGCTTAATGATAGTTCAGCTTTAGTCACCCGTCTCTCACATTGCTTGTCTGTGTTTATAACAGATTTTTACATTAAAACAACCTTTAATGAAGAGCTATTGGGTTTAATGAAAATAATAAGATGAAATCAATAAATTGATAGAGACATCTTTAGATTAATTCCAGTAATTAATCTAAATGTAATTATTTATATTTAACTATACTATTAACTGCATTTTACTCAAATCATATTCAATATCAACATTAATAAACACTTTAATACGATAATTTAATCGTCGAAAATTTTGATTGGTGATTATTTTATAGTTATTTGAGGTCAATTTTTTTCGGATATTTTAATGTATTCAATTTTCTTAAGAACGCGTATACAAAAGAGTAAAAACATGCTTGCATTTCAGTTGTTACACACCAAATTTCATCGTCAGACACATAACTTGATAAGAGGAACGACGTATTTATATATATATATATATACGTTAAACAGAAAATGAGAAAAATGCAATAAGTAAATGTACCGAATAGTTGATCAAAATGTGTTTTGGATTTGTTATACGGGTGTCATTGTATATATTTATCAGTGCGCTAACTAAATAGCATGAATAAATCTTGTTACGATTATTTTGCTTACTTGGACAAAACTCGCAAGGTAGGGTAAATACCAGAGCGACTCTCCTGCGAACTGAGTTCGGTCACCCTTCGCTACTTTACTGAAAAAATCTTATCAAAAGGCTCACACTTACGTCTCCCTCAGCGATGTGATGTTATGAAAGCTTTCCTCTTTCATATAAACAGGAGTATTATGAAACTGACACTCTGTATTCGAATGTACTATTATTTAGCAATGATTCCTCATTTGAATATACAGTCTCCAACTGTAAAAGAAAGCTCAATTAAATTACTTTTTTTGGAAGAATCGTGTTTAGAGGATAATTTTAAATATATTTAACTGACATGTAGTCTATCAATTCTAAGTCTTTATGAGTGTCGTTCGTAATTATCTCGTGCAAAATATAAATATTGAATTCGTGATCAAACAATCAGTTTTGATAAATTGTTAATAAATGTTGATGATTATGAACCTATAGATAAATGAGAACAAAATTCAAGTTTATTTAACGGTCATCGTTAAAGGTTAACGTTTGGCTCTTGTCCAGTATCATATATAAAAAATGATTATCTTTTTCTCGTCTTATTATTTTCCTGTTGTTGATATTGTATAAAACTAAATGAACGACACTTTCTGCTGACACATGGTTTAAATCAGATAGATTCTTGAATATAGTTACCCAATTATTGATTTTAAGTCATGTAAATATGATAAAAACTGAAATAAATGGGAATATAGTAATATGAGAATCATTATGTGTCATTCCAAAATGTCTCATTTTAAGAAAACAGTTTACATTACATGAATCTACTCTTAAAAAATAAATATTGTTCCTATATAATGCTGAAAATTAAAAAATTTTACAAAATGGAAAAACTTGAAAAATTTATAACTCACAATAGTAACGTTTAAAATTTAAGGATTTAAAACTTTTTTTATTTTTGTACTGAGAAAGGAGGGATCTCAAGTTTTTTCGGACTAATTTGCACATTTGAGTGTATCTACAACAACGCAAAAGGCTGAAAAGATTTCAAATCTTTTAAATCTAGGTTATATAAAAAACGTCTCTTTTTGGTGCATGAAATCTCTCGGCGTAACTTCACACTACGATTCGTAATCAGTTTAGACTTCAATAAAACGTTTGATATAGGTAAAAGCTGTGTCGGATAAAGTAAACAAACTGAGTTAGAAAAACGAGTTATCATTCATACCGAGAAAAGGAAATGTTTCTATGCTAGTTTCCTTAAAATTGAACTAAGATCAGTCTACAGTTCTATTTCATACACCAAGCCGATCACCGTAATCTGTAGTATGTGGTTATAACAAAAACAACTACTTAGAAAAATCTAAAAGTTGAGTTTAACTTAAGCAAACGGATTACTTTATACTAAAGTTTAGTCCTTTTATTGAGTTTGACAGTAACCGTACCTTGGTCTCTTATAACATCACTAGCTATTGCTACAAAACTAAATTCTTTTTTATTGCCTGCGACTTCTCTACATTTAGTGGAATATCAAAACGATCATAATTTAAATTTTCTTTATGCTCAACATTTTTCTTAATTTATGAAAATGCATTCAAGCATACACCATCTCTCAAATGACTAATTCAATTCGTACCTGCATCAATAGCAGTCACAATAACATCTGTTAATAAATTATATGACAAAACATATCCCTAAACAGAACATCATTATGATGTACCAACAGTTTTCTCAAAAACAACTGGTGTTGTCTCCATTTTAACGCGCGATGACAGAAGCAATTATGCATCAAACTTTTTAACTAATTAATCGTTTAGTAATCATCATTGTATGTATGAATAACGTCATCAACACATATTAATTCTAGAAAGAAAAACATACAAGATAATTATAACCACCGAAAAAACAAGTACCAAACCGATATTTCCATCAGTTTGGATGCCTCATCTCAGAATCTGACGAAAAAAAGTTAAATAACTCTCGGAAGTGTATTATGACGTAAAAATCAAACATTTGGTCTATTTTCTGTTAGAAATGAAAGAAATTTTAGAACCGGTTATAATTACTCGTTAAAGGGATCGCAATGAACAATTTTGTGTTTTATATGGTTCTAGCAAGTAAAAAAATGGACTTTGATGGCTGATAATTAAGCAAAAAATTGGATATATAAGCTCACGCCAAGATTTCGATTTTTGAACTAAAAGCAAAAGTTAAATTATTATCAGAAAAAGTCGATATGTTTTATCGCTTCTATTTCGCTTATTTGTGTCAGTTAGTCCATTTTATTTATTAATTCTGTGCTATCAATCATGCTGATGTTGGGTTACCGTTAACGGTTTTTTCAAAATCTTATATATAAGCCTCTAAATGAGAGTTGTCATTTTGCAAACCTGTAACTAACGTGAGACAAACGAACAAGGTAAATACACTCGAGATAGTTAGCATTGCAACTGACGATTGGTCTTCCCAAAGAACTTTCCTTAATAATTAGGATCAAAATATATACACCTATCAATCAAATCCGAGATATCCGTGCAAATTCTAGAGTATTCTAGAGTTTTCTGCTCAACGTAGGACACATCGTAATTTGCTATGTAAAAAGTTCGAACAAACTGATCGTTTTGTTCACAAAATACAATTAAAAAGCACAAAAACCTCTCAATTTTCGTTGAAACAAGAAGTTCTTGACTGATTCTATTGTGTCGCTTTACTGGGTTTAATGTGTTTACTGATATTCTTCGGCATTCAATGGTGCACAATCGTGAGAGAGTAACAGTGTGTAAAAGAGTACGTACTGTTTGTTATAGGAGCCATTAAAGTCCACTGTGTTAACATAAATCGATCTATCCATAAATAATATTTAGATGACGCTGATTGTTACACCTCTAAATAATGAGAAACATAAGCACCTCAAATCAATAAGTAATTGAAACACTTACAAACTAAAATGATTATGCTAATTCGCAAAAATGTAATGAATTGCTGGAGGTGTCAAAACGAGTTCTTATTCAACAGAATACAACCATTTATCGATCGAAACTACATAATGACAAAATGGCAGCGCGCCACTTGTTAAAAATCTTCCAATAGCACATGACCTGGCAAGAAAAAAAATGTGGAGAGGATTCAAAATCGCTTCTGACTACTTTTGACAACGTTAAAAATTCCTCTGGCTCTTCCTTTTTCAATAAAGTCGGTTCCAAAGCATATCCTAAAAATCATCTCACATACGTAAAATTCTACGCTCTACTGGTATTCGGAGTTTTTTTTCCGGAGGAAACTCAACGTTTTCGAGATATGTTCAATTCTAGCAAAAGTTGAAACATTTTAAAATCTGAACTTCGACTTACCGAAGACAGACTAAACTGCAGTTTTGGTTTCATTGAATCGAGTATGAAAACCTGCATCTCAACCTCCTGTTAATTTGGATGTTTTTCATTGGTTTTTCTTTAAAAATGTGAAATTTCATGCAACTGCATTTTAAAACAATATTTCATTCTCAAAACTGCTCTGCTAAGAATAAAAAACACGTCAACTGTTTACGCTTTTCTGACTAAAAAAACCAGATTCGGCCTGCAGTGAGACGCTATCACTTCCCTTAAGGCTAATACGCTGTTCCTTTTATTCAAGAAAAATGCAAATTTTTGACGAAATACGAATTTTTTTTCCAAGTTGGACTGCGACCATTTTTGCCAGCTTTTATTGGCTGCTAACTTCTTTCTACGGTGGAACCAGGACTTGTTTCACCCTAGCCGTCAGAAAACAACCGGGAACATTCGAATATCGATTGATTCATTCATATTTTTTATTGGGATGATATTTTGAAAGACATTTTTCTATTGAACTTCAGCGAACCTCTTCAAAGACCTAGTCTATACTATAAGAGTTGACTGTGGATTAAGAAATTTTGATTTGTAGCAATGCCAGTCAGATTCCAGAGTTAACTCTTATAGTGCAGATGATAAATTTTGCGCACGGACTATTAACAGAGAATTATTATGCAATAGTGCAATTAGAAAGATTTCTATTCATCAGAATTTATCATAAATTAGTAATCAGAGATGCGATGAATCCGGTTTATTTTTCTCGTCTTTGAATTTGACAGGAACAATTGGCGGCTGGTGATGAATAATTTTTGGTTGGTTGGCTTTGTTTTTTCAACAGG